TATATTATATAATTTTTTTCCACAGATCCGAACTTTTCTTTTACTGGAACTGGTTCATCTGTGTTCGGTTCAAAAATAACTTCATCGGTTCCTAATAAATCAACAACAGAAGAAATAAAACAAAACCAACGAGATAAAGATAAAAAAGATGATAACGACGAAGATGAATGTAATGAAAATGAAAATGATCAAGAACATGATCCTCACTTTGAACCTATTATTCCAATGCCAGATGCTATTGAAGTACGAACTGGTGAAGAAGATGAAGAAAAAAGTAATTATTTGATTTAAGCTTACTTATTTTATTTTTTGATCTTCTTTATATCTAAGAATATAATACTAAATTGAAAATAAATATATTTTCAGTATTTTGTAATAGAGCCAAGTTATATAGATACAATAATGCTACAAAAGAATGGAAAGAAAGAGGAGTTGGAGAAATGAAAATTTTACATCATGCCAAATATGGATCATATCGATTATTATTACGTAGAGAACAAGTTTACAAAGTTGTATGTAATTTTCTAATCAAACCAGACACAGAGTTCCGTCCGCTTTCTACGTCGGATCGAGCATGGATATGGGCAGGTATGAATCATGCGGAAGAAACTCCATGTGTCGAAGAGCTTGCAGTTAAATTTAAAACTTCAGAGTTGGCAGCACAATTTAAGGAAATTGTCGAGAAAGTACAACAAACACTACGTGAAAGACAAAGTGAACAAGGTAGCTAATCTTAATTTTTTTGCTTAGTAATCATTACTGATATTCATAATAGTTTTATTGCATGAAGTTCAAATATTTTTTTCTTTACCTTTTTTCTTTTTCTATTATGTAGAATGTTTTATAATTAAAAAATTTATGTATGTATAACGATATTTAATTTTATAAATTGAGCGATACATCTTTTCTGTGAAATGTCAATTGTATAACATTACTGTAAATGTAAGTGTATATAAGAAATGTAAAAATACATATATTGCTTTATTTAAATTGACGATTAACATATTGGAAATAATATTTACAAAGTTTTGTTTTTATAGACAGCTTTTATGATTTAATTCTTGTCTTTGTAAGATATTCTACAAATTTTCATATCGAAATTATTTTACTTTCAAAATAGATGTGTAGTAAACACATTTTATAATATAATAAAATCAAATATTACTCAATTCTATATTTAAATGTTATATAATAAAATGTTATAAAATTGTTAAAAGAGCTAAGAAATGCATTTTTACATTTAATATATAACTTTCATATTAAAAGTCGCTTATAATATAGCTTTGGCGATGTTAGATAATAATACTTTTTTTGTGAACAGAATGTTATTCAATTTATTGAAATATTATTTTAATTTAAGAAATTTTTTTGATTTATATATCATATTTAGTGCTTGTATTAATTATGAATTGATTAATTTTTGATATATCTCCTTCTAGTAAATAAATGTGTTTTGTATCAAATTGGCGATAATATAAAAATAATTCAATGTAACAATATTTTTTTGATTAACATTAAACCAATGTTTTTATAGGACAAAAATATGAATGAAAGATATATGAATATATAATTTAATTAAGCACAATGATATTTAACGAAAAATAATATGTATTTATATAACAACTATGATCAACTATTCAATTGTCATGTTTATTTTTAATTTTTTCATTTATAATATATAAACAAAAAAGACAAATTTCATTTTTTCATTTGTTTATAATCCTATGTAATTTCTCAAATTTTATGTTTATGTATTAAATAAGATTTTTCATTTGTAATAAACTATATTGACGTAATAGTAATAATAATAATAATAATAATAATAATAATATTAATAATAATAATAATAATAATAATAATAATAATAATAATAATAATAATAATAATAATAATAATAATAACAATAAAAATAAAAATAAAATGCAAAATGTTAATTTACGAACATCCTAGATAATAAATAAGTGATAAATACATGATTTCTGAAAAGTACACACTAAATAATAGAGAACTATTAATAATATTAATACAACTAATACCAGATATAACAGCATACAATTTATATATTTTATTATATTATGTAAGTTTGGAAATATTATCTACTCAATTTATAATAATTTTTAAAAAAGTATTTTGTATCATTTATATTTTCTTAGATTCATATAGTAAGAATAAAAATATATAATTTCTTAAATGCATATATTTCTCGAAATAAGATCGGATTTTGTTTTTTTTTTACAGGTATATGTCATATGAATTATAATTGACTTTTATAATTTTATGAATTATGTCATGATTGTTCACAATATGCTGAAATAAAATTTAATTCTTTTTGACTTTTTTTAATAAGTTGTATAATAATCAGAATCTTGTAGTTAAGTGTAATAAATTATGTCTTTGTTTTATATACATCTATATTTGTTATATAGATATCAAATATAACAGAGGAATTGTGCAAGAAGATCAAGAATGTGTTGATGAGATTGATGATGAAATCGATGATCAAGAGGATGTTGATGATGAAGATGATCATGATGAGGATGAAGGTTCATTATTTTTTGAAAAAAGAGCCACTTTATATACAAAATCAAATGATGGAACAAAATGGATACAGATAGCTTTAGGAACATTGGCAATATATTATGATTCAAATATTTTTGGTGAAAAAATAATATTTAAGGCTGATGGATCTGGAGAAATGTTGAGTAATACGATAATTAGTATGACCACCGAAATGCAGGTAATTTTTATTAACAAATATAGGAATGATATAGAAAAGAATTTTTGTTTAAATCGTTGTAGATTGTTTCGTTATTTAAAATATTTTGTTTATTTTTTCCAGCTCGAAGGGAAAAAGTGTATTTGGACTGCTATCGATCATGCTTTAGAGCCTCCTACAAGCCGTACTTTGAAAGCAATTTTTTCATCTCCACAAGCAGCGGAACAAATGCATAAAATTTACATATGTGTAAGTATAGAAAAACATTTTTATAAACAAATATATAATAACAAATTTTATATATATTAAAAATTTTCACTTTTTAGTTTTAAAGAAATTATATCATGTTTTGGTTGAATTATTTCCAGGGATTGGAATGTGCTAAACAAGCCGATATTAGTGAACAAGTAGAGGAAAAATAAGAAAGTTCTTTGTAATAGCTAATTATTACGATCTCCCTTGTAAACATAGAATGTATTGTTATTGAAGTCTCACTAGAGGAAATTTTTTACTATACTTTTTATGTTTTCAAGACATAGTCTATATACAAACAAATGACATTGATGTAGATATTACATGACTATTGTTATTATACAATTCTCTATTTTAGTCCATGTATTTATCAAAATAGTATAAGTAACAAAAAAAGAATGTTTTCATAATTTTATTCTGTATTTGATATCTCTAAGAAAAACAAAGTAAAAAGAGTAAATTGAAATACTCGATAAATAAAAAGAAGTGTGTGCCAATCAATTTGTCCTAATGATTGTCTTATAACAAACAGATAAAATTTCATGCTTTTTATTAATAATTATTAAATAACGATTTTTTATTATTTTGCATTTATATAAGTATTTAAGTCGTCTAAGATAGAAATATTATAAATGCGATTATGCAAAAATCTATTATTTTATTACATGTAAATATAATATCAAAGATATTCTATTATGATATAACTTCTTGACTAGAGTAATATAGTAATATAGAAATATTTTCCAAATTAGAAAAAAATTCTTAATAACATTCTTTAGAGTAACAATAAGTTTCTATAAAATAGAAATTAAATAAAAGACTTCACTATGTAAACGATTTTAAATCATTAAAAATAATTTCTTTCAACATCTACAAAAGATAATATGAAGTTAAAATACTGTTCTTATTAGCTATTCTTTTTGTCTTCTTACTATTAGTCCAAAGTTCACATTATATTAATTAAGCACATATGAAATTATTATAAAAGTATCAAGAAGTAAAATTTCTTCTACGAGACTTTAATGCATATTTATCTTATTTATGCATGAATTATAATTTAAGTTTTTAAAGTGAAGAAGTCCGATCAAAGTCCTAATGGTACAATAATATCCTATAGAAATGTAAGAAATTTTGAGTGTGTTTATAATCTCTGTTGTGTTACGATTTTGATTTTTTTTTATGTATGAAATTTTATATATATATATATATATATATATATATATATATATATATATGTTTTTAACATAATAATATTGTAAATACACACTTAAAATAGATATTTAAATATACATGTTTAAATTCCTTTAATTTTTGTATTTATCTTTGATTTAATGCTACAGTGACGAGTAGGATTAATATTTAATTTTTATTTATTTTTTTTTTAATTTATATGATAAATTGTGATCATATTAAAAATAAAAAATAATAAAGAAATAAACTTTGTTTTACTAAATTATAACATATCATAAATGTAAACATATGACATATCATAGATAGTGTCATATCAATTGCTCGTTTAGACTTTAGACATTGTTAAAGTATTATGAATCAGGGTTCAATTCATGTTATCTATATATATATATAAAAGAGAAAAACATAGGATTATTTTAAGAAAATACAGTATCATTGTTTTTATTTATTGATCTTAGATTGAATAAATAATATAAAACTTATTTATTACTATATACTAAAAAAAATTATTGCATTACTATTTGTTATTAGTATTTCGTAGTATATGTAACAATGCAAAAAACTAAAATATTATAATTCATTATTTATAATTACATTATAATTCATGTAAATATTCGTAAATAACAAAAAAGATAATAAAGAAAAAAAATGTTAATTCTATATTTAACAAGATTAATAGAAATGTAATATAATTTCTAAGTATATTAATTAATAAATTTCCTTTATTTTTATTCCCAATTATATTTAATATGAATAAAATTCTTATTGAAGATTTAGGGTTCTGAATTCGATTGCACCATCCCTGACATTTTCATATCACTCAACCACTTCCATTACTTTCCTCGATGATACAGCAAAGTAATAAATACAATTGAAGTAGTGAAAATGTTCAGTACGTTTTGCATACACCATTTGTGAACAAGTTTAAAGATAATTTTTTATTTTTAATTGTTATACGTTATATTATATCATATTGCAAAATGTCGATCATTACAAAAGGTAAGTGATCATTACTTCAGAAGATCTATAACGATTATTACTAACCTAATCGATATATTAAAACAAAAAAGAACATATTGATATAGAACAATTGGTAAACGCTTTCTATTATTCTTTCTTTTTCATTTGATTTTTTTTTGTGTTAACTATCGAAAATAATTTTTAATATAAACGATACATTTTAATATCGAAATATTTCTTTTTTTTTTTTTTATTCTTTCAATTTTGTACGGATTCGTAATATTATGATTTAATACACAAAGTACTATAGTTAATTTTATTATATATAATACGTTAATGCTCTTTTATTCCATTCTTCCATTATTTTTATTTATATAGTATTACTATATAAATAAAATTACGAATTATATAGTATGGCTACTACTATTTCAAATATGTACGTTATATTTAGTTTTATAGAAAAAATGTTCAGAATAAAATTGCACTATAAATAAAAAAATATCACAGTATAATGCCGAAAAATGATTAATTCGTCAAGTATTTTGCGAAAATACTGTTCATTTGAATGTTTGTTAATTCACGTAGCAGTAATAAGGCATATCTTTTTTTTACTATATTGACGTTAAAAAGAAATGTAAAAAAAAAATGAATTATTTAAGATAGTTTGAAAAAAAAACATGAATGATTAATGACCATAGCTTTTTCGTAAATCCATATACACGTATATTTTTGCACATGATTCATTAAGTCTTACAGTTATGGCCGTTGTTCTGATAAAAATGTACAATACCAAGTTTTTCAATACTAAGTTCGAAAAAAAATTGTTTTTCAATATATTTTCTTCAATTATATAAACTTTTAGGTCGTCCGAAAAATTCATGCTGATTTCCTCATTACATTACCTACCACAAATCGGCACGAACTTTCACTTAACCCAATACTGTATATATGTGTGTGTGTATGTGTGTGTGTGTGTCTGCGTCTCTGTGTGTGTGTATATATATAGTGTATTTTCATTTCATAAAATGTTAATTTCTTTCCGTATGCAATTTGTATACAAATACATACGCAAACATGTTTATCGTATATGTACTTTTTGATAATGTATTGTATTTCTATCGTGTAGATTTTTAGTAATATTGCTTATTTCTCTTAAAGAAAAAAATATTGATTTCTGTTTTTATAAATAAGTTAATAATTCATCGTCCTTCAATAGTCGTATTTAATTGAAATAATAAAATAAAAATGAAATTTTAACAGGTGATAAATAAAGAGAATTAAATGTAAATAATTATATATAATAATAATATATAATAATAATTATATATAATAATAAATTTATTATATATAAACATAATTTCAATGATAAAAAAATGACCAAATCGATAGAATTAATTTGTCATAAGTAAAATTTATTGTTAGAACTGGTATTATTTATTATAGAACTGATTTTTTATCGAATAGAATAAAATAAAATAACAAACAAACAAAATTAATGAAAATATGAAATACTTTTTTTTCAGGTATCTTCATTATTGCTGCAAAACGAACTCCATTTGGAACAATGGGTGGTGTTTTTGCAAACAAAACCGCAACCGAATTGTCTGTTATCGCAGCTAATGCTGCCATGAAATCAGCAGCAATAAAGCCCGAAAAAATTGATAGCATTGTTTTCGGACAAGTATTAACGGTACGTACATATATACAATATTATTTATATAAATAATATTGTAAATATAATTTTAAATATATAAATAAATAAAAATTTCTATAATATTATCTGTGTGTAAAAATCGATTTACAATTAGTAGATTTATTTATTAACATTTTCGCTACGGGCGATTTCTTCGTCAAAATGTGCTAAAAAAGTGTAGAGCAACTATAGTCGCCCATAATACTTCAGTGGCATTTTATGGAGAGCGACTATAGTCGTCCGTAGTAACGAAAGGTTTAATAGATAATAATTAATATTTTTATCAAATTTAATATAATATATTCTTTCTCTTTCTCTTTCTCTTTCTTTTTCTTCCTTTTTCATTATATAATTAGTTATTAAATATAAATTATAGTTAGCTGCTGCAGATGGTGCCTTTTTACCACGTCATGTTTTACTACAAACTGGTATACCATTGGAAAGGTCTGCTTTAGGAGTAAATAGATTATGTGGTTCTGGATTTCAATCTATCGTTAATGCAGCTCAGGTATATATGTATATTTATATATATATATAATTAAAAATAAAAATAAAAAAATTATAATTCTTCTATACACATATGTATGTGTGTGTGTGGGCGAATTTTAATTTTTTTAAAATATATTTTAGAATATTCTAACAGGCGAATCAAGAATCGTTTTAGCCGGAGGTGCTGAGAATATGAGCCAAGTACCATTCGTTGTCCGAGGCGTTCGTTTTGGAACAATTTTAGGTCAGAAACATGAATTCGAGGATGCTCTTTGGGCTGGATTATATGATACTTATTGTAATTTACCTATGGGTCTAACTGCGGAAAAGCTTGGAGAGAAATATAATATAACACGAGCAGAAGTTGATGAATTTTCTTTGAGGAGTCAACAATTATGGAAAGCTGGTAAGTTTATCTAGTAATAATACTTGATATCAATAAAAAAAATTATCAATGTTAATTATCAAATTTAATTAATTAAAATTATTAATGTAAATATTATTTTTAGCAAATGATGCTGGTCGTTTCAAAGAAGAACTTGCTCCAGTAACAGTGAAAGTTAAGAAACAAGATGTAACAATCTCCGTAGATGAACACCCAAGACCTCAAACGACAAAAGAAAATTTAGCAAAACTGAATCCTGTTTTTAAGAAGAATGGTTTAGTCACCGCTGGTTCGGCATCTGTAATGAAAACTTTAAATATTTAATTAATGTTTTATATACAATGTTAAAATAATTATTTTCGTCATTTTTAGGGTATTTGTGATGGTGCAGGAGCACTGATTCTTGCAAGCGAAGAAGTTGTCAAACAAGAAAAATTGGTACCATTGGCACGTTTGGTAGGATACAGTGTCGCTGGTGTCGATCCTAGTATTATGGGAATTGGACCAGTCCCAGCGATACGTAATTTGCTAAAAATTACAGGTAAAACATTGGATGATATTGAACTTGTTGAGGTAATATTACAGTTAATTCGTTTTTTTCTATCTTAATGTTGAGAGATAATGAAATTATAATAATAATTTTTTTCTGCAGATTAACGAGGCTTTCAGTGCTCAAACTTTAGCTTGCGCCAAAGAACTCAATTTAGATATGAACAAGTTAAATGTAAATGGTGGTGCGATTGCGCTTGGCCATCCATTAGGCGCATCAGGTAGTAGAATTACCGCTCATTTGGTACATGAACTTAGGTAAGAAAATTGAGACATTTCTATTAATTATTTTCGAAAAATTATTATTTATAAATTATTTTTGAATAATCATAATTAAAGTAATTATTATTAACGATTATTTATTTATCTATCACAGGCGTAGAAAGGCTGGTAAATTAGGTATTGGTTCAGCGTGTATCGGTGGAGGTCAAGGAATAGCCGTTATGATAGAATATCTCTAAGCGATTGAATAATTTTATTTATCTGTCAATTTTTAGACATTATAATTTACCAATTGAAAACTCGAATGAATGAAAACAGATATTTGTGATATATTGGAATTATATCTGTGTTTATATCTATATATATTTATATATTTGTATACTTACAATAATGGGATCTTAATCAGCTGTTGCATTTTGTAGTACCGTGAAAATGGAATAAGACATTCGTAAAATCTATATTAGAAATAATTATAAATAAATATTAGAAATAATTAAATTTTTATTAAAGATTAAAAATAGTTTAGCCTTTCGCAATATAATTATTTTATTTATTGTTTTATTTTTTTTTATTTTTATATATCACATATTTCACGTATGTACATTTTCCATATTACGAAAACAATTTTTTAATTAAAATAATCTTCTATTTATTTATTTTATTAAATTAAATAAAGTGTCACATTAAAGATAACGCATAAAATCTAGACAAATATGGTGATTATAGATCAATAGTAAAGTCATAGTGCAAAGGGCTATCAGAAAGATTAGAATAGTTAGTTTATATATTTTTGTAAAGGATATAATTCATCGATATACTTACGTTGACAAAAGTATTTAACGATAAAGTGAAGACCTTTCCAGCACTTAAAATAAGAGGTCGATGTGCTCTTATTATCATTATTTGTAATGCACGTTTAAAATGATTACCAGCATTCCACCAATCATTGGAATAAGCTGCTGTGCTAACATATATATTCTGTAATTATTTAAGAATTTATAAAAAATAATTCAGAACTAACAGCAATATTTAATAATATATAATAATACTCACATGTAACTGTAATTCATTACCATGCCAACAATATATAAAAATTTGATATGTCATACAACACATATACATGAGCATACCAAACAGAATTGCTGGAATATAGATTTTCATCTGTAATCGATAAATCAATTTAAATCGTCAGATATAATATTAATCATCATTCAGATAAAATAAAATATTTATATACCTGTGAAATGTTAAAAGCGATCAAACAAATGATAATGCAATTGACAAAAAATTGTAAAAGAATCATTGTACCAAAAATATCTTGTATTTCGTTGGTGAAACTATATATATATAATATAAAAAAGTATTTGTTAGATTAATAATTTCAATTAATATTCTATTTTAGAAAAAATTCTATTTTAAATAAGTTAAGACAAACCTGAATATAACGTTATTATGAATAATACATCTTTTTAGCATTTCATATGGAACATCGTAACAATTTTTTTCTTCGTTAATTATTTTTATATTACTTTTTTCTTCTCGTTCATAATTCTCTATCGAAGTTACAGTCTGACTCAATATTGAAAGTTGACAACATGCAACAGTGATAAGACCAGTGACTAAAGTATCCATAGCTACATTATGGAAACAAGCAACGAAGATTGCCACGGCCTGATGCAAGGAAGTAATTTCAAAAGCTGGAGTAACAGTCACGTTGTAAGGGTACCAACCTTCCATTGGTAATCTTCTTGATCTTCCAGCAATAAGATCAGCAATTGGTGTAAAACCCCAACAGAGCACTGCCACTGTACCAAAACTTTGATAAGCTATATGATGAAAAATTCCTTTCCAAGTATATTGAGTCACTATATATTCGTATTTAATATTGTGTCGAACAAATATTTCATTCTTCGTTATATCTAAAAGATTTTGTATACGTTTTTGCCGATAAAGAATTATTATTATCTAGAATGAATGATATTTTTTTTAAATTATAATTAGATACTACAATATTGTATTTTTTTTTTTTGATAAGACAAACCTTGTATGCATGAGTACAATTAGTCATAAGAAGAGTTGCTCCGGCAATTAATTTTTCTAAATCTTTCAAACTCAATATAAGATTTGCTATTTCGGTTAACAAAAAAATTCCTAACATAAATGTGAAACTGCATATCGTATAAATAATATACAACGAACGATATTTTCCTAGTGGTGGCCAAGTTCCCATATAATAAATGATCGATACGCTTACATTTAAATGAAAATTTGGTTCGATCCAGCGTTGCATTGGTTTTTCTATATCGTAATTATCCATATTCAACGCGACTATTAAATTTGTATTTTTCCTCTTATTTGCACATTTTATTTGTAACATTGAAGTATAACTCGAACATCATTTATGATAGTCTGAATAGAATTCGCTAGAAAAAGAGAGAGAGAGAGAGAAAGAGAGAGAGAGAGAGAAATAACTTAATGACTTTCTTCTGTCCACGTAATAGATTGAAGACTATAAAAGACAATATAAGTTAGTAAATTACAGATTTCTATGATATTATAGACCTCTTCTATATTTGTGAATGTATTATTCGATTTGGAAAGAGAAACTCTAAATTACAAGCCGATGGATTGACGTAATTTGTATTTAAGCCGATAGATTGATAGAATCTCTAATTAAATAGAATCATGGTCTATTATTATAAGTATAACGTTTGTAGTTACATCTAGAGATATATAATTTGAAAATATCGATCGGTATATAAGAATAGAAGACATAGAAATTCTATAAACGATTTTCGATCGTTAGAAAAATTATGTTATGTCCAGTAGAGTCAGGGATCCCTCACAGTGAAGGAGAAGGAAGAACTGAAGAAATGGGAGTTGAGTGTAGTATGAACGAATAGATAAATGATTTTATAATGAAATGACGAAATAGTAAGGTACGTTTTCTTGGTCGAGTATTCCGATTTTTAGCAATATCTAGATCTTTCATAATTTTTATATTTCTGACATGACAGATCAGGATTCGTACGTAAGTTCTCGTTTTTAGATTATAGCGTTTACGTGACGCGCAACAAGGATTAAAGAAAATAAGAGATTTATGTACATACAAAAAAAAACAACAATGTAATTTTCTATTATTTGCGGATTATTAGATTATAAGTTTTCGTCTAAAAAAGAAAAATCTAGGAAACGTAAGAGAATAAGAAGAAAAAGAAGAAGAAGGAAGAAGAAATAATAGAAGCATTGTTATATCTTCCGGCTGTGCCAGATCCTGGAAGGATCGTCAGAAGAAGATATTTGTTTCATTAATAACTATAAATCTCATTTTTGCTCTTTCTCTTCTTAAAGAAAGAAATTCTTCTTCTTCTTTATCAGTTTCCTTTGTTTTTTATAACAACGATGAGATCACCACGCTGGCAATGGAGATATTAAATATATTAATATTTTAAAGAATTCGCTTTGCGTTGCGAGTCATTAATGATAAGATTACAAATCTACTTAACGTACTGTTGACAACGTTTCTCAAATATTTGTCAACCAGTACGTTGTTAACAGTACGTTAAGTAGATTTGTAGTCTTATCATTAATAACTTGCAATTTTTGTGAAACGTTGTTATCAATACGTTCAGTAGATTTGTAGTCTTATTATTAATAATTAGCAACATGAAGCGAAATCTTAATAGGTTGTAATTAAAAAACATTGATGATTCGATTCAATAAATGAAATACATTGAATTAAATTTAAATTTGCACTATAAATATTAGATCATACTTTCTTAGAGATCGGACATTGGCTAATGCAATGTTAAAAATGATCAAGGCTTATTGTTTTCATTTTTGCTTATATGTAAATCTGTTTTTGACATCAGACATTACAATATTGAGAAATTCGAATCATCGGATATTTTTGATCTTTCATTGAGGTAATATATACGTAACTTAAGCAATCTCTTATCTAAATGTTATTTCAATATCCTATTATCATTTAGTCATCAACGAAAAGAGAATATATACATATATATATGTGTGTGTGTGTGTGTGTGTGTGTGTGTGTATACATTGTATAAACGTATAATTGATGCTTTTTTCTTTCTCTATCTAATACGTATATTCGCATACGTGCGCATTATATGTCAAGTTATCTCTTTGGAATTTGTACTATATATGATATATGTAATATATATGTATGTGTGTATATAGTGAACTTGCAGTCGCTATTTCTACTTAAATTCATTTATACAGCAGATATAATATCAAGAAATTTATAACTACATTTCGTTTTAATAAATGTAGAATCTAGTTAACAATAAATTTAATTATTTGGTAACTCGAAGTGAGATGCTTCAGTAACATATAAAATTATTTAATTGCTTGATCGGTGTAAGAAATAAGAAGTGACAATTTTCTCTTTGGTATAGTGCAATTGTGTATTTTATTATCACATAGAGGTTAAAGAATGGCTACGTCTTTTATTAGCAAAGATATACCCGATATAGAAGTAAGTATAAAATTACATATTTGCGATGTATCAATTACGAAGTATTTCCTTTATTTATTTTACTTTTTAATAATTTATTATATTCTCAATATTAAAACACTTTGCGTATTTACACACAGTAGTTTAAGCATTATTACCATTTTAGGATTTGACTTCAGATATGTATTTACAATCAACTTCAAACACAGCTGTTAATTATTTATTTTAATTTGAAGTTTTTTTTTTCGAGCATTAACTTATCTTATCTCAATATTAAATTTTTAAGAGAGTTTGGTTTAGAGATATATATATAATTAAAACTTATTTTTGCGTAATCGTAGTTATCTTATATTAATCTTTTTTTTTTTTAAGTGATATATCTCTAATAATCAAGCATTTCATTTGTTTCTAAACATGTAATGTAAAGCTTATTATATTTATATTACCATAGTATGTTTATTATAAATAGTTCATTAGTTATTAGTTTTATATAATGATATTTAATGTTACGAATAAGATGCTTTAATATTCATATTGAACAAAATCTTATAATTACAAATTAATGTTAATAATTGTTAATAAATTATTAATTAATATCTTGTTTATCATTTAACAAAAAGTATACATTTAACAAAATCTTATAATTACAAATTAATGTTAATAATTGTTAATAAATTATTAATTAATATCTTGTTTATCATTTAACAAAAAGTATATTAACTATAAAATTTATTAGTGTCATAATTGAATCTTCAAGTATATCTCACTTTCGCATTAAACACTTTGAAAACTTTTCGTTCAGAGGATACGCTCCTGCAATGAATAATAATTCTTTTTTTTTTATATTACATACTTGTTTATACGGTTTTTAATATTCTTTATAAAACGTATATGAATGCTTTAGAAATATTTATAAATTACAATTAATTTTAATTATATTTTTCTTTCATATATATATATATATTAATTATTTATTTATATTATATTAATAATTTATTTTTCTATTAATAATAATTTCTTTTATTTACTCCATACTTATATGTTCATATGGTTATCAATATACTTCTTAGAATTTTTCAATGCTTTCAGAATATATTACAATTAAATCCAAAAACAAAATCTTTTGCAAATCTTGTTCCATCAACAATTACAAAAAAAGAGAAACAAAAATGGAAGAGAAATATCAACGACAAGTGTGATGTAAGTTTAACAAAATATATTTCCGAAGTTTTTATTATAAAACCGATTTTCGATATTTCCGATTTATTTATTGTTTATTAACTTAAGCAATTTACCACTATCACGATTATCAATGATTAAGTCTAGTATCTTCCTCTAATTCGAATAGACAGACATATTTATTTTATTGTTAAATGATATAAGTAAATATTTTTATCGTATAACGTAATTAATAATTACTGTAACAATTTTAATTATATTTAATAATAAAGATATTTATTTGGAAAAATAATGAAGGTATTTACTTTTACATTGAATTTGGTTTTATAGAGTTGCTTATCGTTCAAAAACAATTTCGATGACATAAAACATACGACACTGAGTGAAAGGGGTGCATTGAAAGAAGCGGCACGTTGTTTAAAATGTGCTGATGCGCCTTGTCAAAAATCCTGTCCGACTCAATTGGACATCAAATCTTTTATTACTTCAATATCGAACAAAAATTATTATGGAGCAGCTAAAGAAATTTTTTCAGATAATCCTTTGGGTCTTACATGTGGTATGGTTTGCCCAACTAGTGACCTTTGCGTTGGTGGCTGTAATCTTCATGCCAGTGAAGAAGGTCCTATCAACATTGGTGGTCTTCAACAATTTGCTACCGATGTAAAATACATTTTTTTTATTAACATATTTATATTTTTAAAAATGTTATCAAATGTTTGGTAATTAATATCAAAGAAATTTTGTGAATTCTAAGGAAAAATGTTAGATCATTTTTATAAATTAATTGTTTATTAGGATAAATGTTTACAAATATCGAAAAATAAGATGTGTAATAATAGTTAGGAGCATTATTTGATGATTGAAATGATAAGAATTAATTTATTTGATATTTTTATAATATCTGATCTTCGAGAAAATTATTTTTATTAATTTATAAAATTTATTTATAGTTACAAATCCTCTCAATCTCATATTATATATTAAATTTATTTATACTTTTAAATTATCAAACATATTATTTATTTTGTCATATTATTTATTTTATCATTATATAATATTATTTTCGATTTATCATTATATTTATTTATATTTTCAGATCTTCAAACAAATGAATGTTCCTCAAACACGAATCCCTAATCAATCAGTTCCACATGCCGATACGAAGATCGCATTGATCGGTTGTGGTCCAGCATCTTTATCTTGTGCCACGTTTCTTGCACGTTTAGGCTACAATGATATAACAATTTTTGAAAAACAGCATTACATCGGTGGTCTGAGTTCTTCCGAAATTCCACAATATCGACTTCCATATGATGTAGTAGATTTTGAAATAAATCTAGTTAAAGATCTTGGAGTAAAAATTGAATTGGGTAGATCGTTATCAGAAAAAGATTTAACGATTCAGGTAAATTTATCTTGAATCGGATGAATTTATCGATCGTTTTAGTACATTTAGAAACAATAAAAAAAAATTTCTATTCATTTCAGGGACTTTTTAAAACAAATTGCAAAGCCATTTTTCTGGGTATTGGTCTTCCAGAGCCAAAAACATTAACAATCTTTTCTGGATTGACATCAAACGAAGGATATTATACATCGAAAAGTTTCCTTCCAGTTGTAGCTAAAGGTAGTAAACCTGGAATGTGTTCTTGTAAGAGTAATAATGAACTACCACATCTTCGAGGAAATGTAATAGTTTTGGGTGCCGGTGATACAGCATTTGATTGTGCAACCTCTGCTTTAAGATGTGGTGCTAAAAAGGTCTATGTTGTTTTCAGAAAAGGTTTTACCGATATTCGTGCTGTCCCTGAAGAGGTAGATAATAGTTAATAGTTAATATATTATCAAGTATACATATATAATAATTACTATAAAAATATTATTTGACAATGAAAAATTAATATCTGTTTGTAATAATTTAGGTTGATCTGGCTCGAGAAGAGAAATGTGAGTTTATACCTTTCCAATCACCGAAACAAGTGATCGTTCGTAATGGAAGAATCGTTGCTGTTGAATTCTGTCGAACCGAAAAGAAAGACAATGGTGATTGGGTTGAGGATGATGAACAGATTTGTCGATTAAAAGCTGATTTTGTTATTTCAGCTTTTGGATCAGGATTACATGATTTGGATGGTAATCTATATAAATTTATTTACATCCATATATAAATATTAATAATAATAATAATTAATATACATATAAATAGTAATAATTTATAATAACATAAATATATATTTATATATGGAAACAAAGAACCAATCAAATTAATATACATTGATATATATAAATAATAATTTAATTTTAATAAATAATTAACAGTAAAACAAGCTATGAAACCGGTAAAATTTAATACATGGGGCTTACCGATAGTGGATACAAAAACCATGAGCACATCCGTTCCTGGAGTATTTTGTGGTGGTGATTTGGCTGGTATTGCTCAAACTACTGTAGAATCTGTAAATGATGGCAAAACAGCTGCTTGGTATATTCATAAATATTTACAGGTACATATTTACCTATTAAACTAACACATTATACTGCATTACATATGTATTTGAAATGTTTCATAGGAATCCTTTGGCATAATGGTTCCAGATACACCACAATTACCGAAATTCCATACACCAATTGATGAAGTCGATATAAGTGTTGAAATGTGTGGTTTAAAATTTGAAAATCCATTTGGCCTTGCATCTGCACCACCCTGTACAACTAGTGCGATGATTCGTCGAGCTTTTGAAACTGGCTGGGGCTTTGCTGTTACTAAAACATTTTCTTTGGATAAGGTACGTTTTATTATTGTAATAAAGAATATAACTAATATTATATGTGATATATTTTGTAGGATCTAATTACTAACGTATCACCGCGTATCGTTAAAGGAACTACATCACGGCATCATTTTGGACCTGAACAAAGTAGCTTTTTAAATATTGAGTTAATATCCGAAAAAACTGAAGCATACTGGTGTCGTAGTATTACCGAACTTAAGAAAGATTTCCCTACTAAGGTTTTTATATATTAAAAAATTTTATGATTTGTTATTATTTAAGTTTTTCTATTAATTATGTAATATATGTATGTATGTATGTATGTATTATATATAGATTGTAATCGCTAGTATAATGTGCACTTATAACAGTGCAGATTGGACAGAACTTTCAAAAAAAGTTGAAGCAGCTGGTGCTGATGCTTTAGAGTTAAATTTATCTTGTCCACATGGTATGGGAGAATCTGGAATGGGCTTGGCATGTGGACAGGTTTGTATCAATAATTTATTTCTTTTTCGATCAGTTTGATAAAAATTCCAATAATATCTTTTAGGATCCAGAGTTAGTCAGAAACATTGCAAGATGGGTCAGAGCAGCAGTGAAAATTCCATTTTTCGTTAAATTGACACCGAACATAACTGATATCGTATCAATAGCTATAGCAGCTTATGAAGGCAATGCAAATGGGGTGTCTGCTATTAATACAGTACAAGGTTTAATGGGATTAAATTCTAATGGGATACCATGGCCTGCTGTAGGATATAACAAATTGACTACATACGGTGGAATGTCTGGAAATGCAACCAGACCACAAGCTTTAAGAGCTGTGTCATCTATTGCTAAACAGCTTCCTGGATTTTCTATACTTGGTATAGGTGGTATCGATTCCGCTGAAATTGCTTTGCAATTTTTACATTGCGGAGCATCTATTCTTCAGGTAATATCAATCATTTTTTCTGCATATGATTATGTCAATATATAATTATATCAATTGATAATATCGATATTTGTTATCTTCAAAAGGTTTGCAGTGCCATTCAAAATCAAGATTTTACACTTATCGAAGATTATGTGACCGGTTTAAAAACATTGTTATATCTTAAGAGTCTTAAACAAACAAAAGATTGGGATGGTCAGAGCCCACCTACTTTTAAACATCAAAAGGGCAAACCAGTTTCTTTGCAACATGCTCTTGGTAAAGTAAGTACCACTGTGTATATATTACTCTGGTATCAAAAGTTATTATTTTGAATTGGTATTCACGTTTGTTAATATATTACAGAATATACCATACTTTGGAGAATATCAAAAATTGCGAGAAAAAAAGATCGCAGAGTTAAAAGAAAAAATGAATCTATTAGATGTTAATTTTTCATCAACAAGACCAGCACCAGAACCAGTTGGATCAGTACCAGCTGTAAAAGATGTTATTGGAAAGTCATTGTCTCATATTGGGACTTTCAAAGAATTGAATAACAAAGAACAAGTTGTTGCTTTAATAGATGATGTATGTAATTAATTTATATTAAGTATATACGTATGCTGATGTTATTTTGACGAAGCTTGTTTTATTTATTTATTTATTTATTTATTTTTCTTTTTTTGTAGGATATGTGTATAAACTGTGGAAAATGTTACATGACCTGTGCTGATTCTGGTTATCAATCAATTACTTTTGATTCAGAAACTCATATACCAAAAGTAACTGACGATTGCACAGGTTGTACTCTTTGTTTATCGGTGTGCCCAATTATCGATTGTATTACGTAAGTTTTCTAATGTATTATTATATTTGAATTAGAACTTCGTATATATTAAGATTATTCTTAATAAATAATTAATAAATTATTTGCAGAATGGTTCCAAAAACAAAGCCACATATCATTGTAAGAGGAATACCACCGAAAGGTTACATCGAAGCACTAAGTTAATCAGTATATTAAACATTTATAAACAAATATTAATATAAATCGAAAAAATATTATATATAAAAGAATTACTATTATTTTCATAACATTAAAATATTGTTACTATTAATTATTATTAACTATATTATTGCAACACTATGTTTATTATAGTATATTTGTTATTTATAATTTTAATTAAAAATATAAAGTTTAAATTTAAAAATTTTTATTATCAAACCATTGATATTTCTTTTCTTCAGTTTTATCTTGCATGTAGTCAATGCATTTATGTAGTAGAGGACTAAAATAATAATAATAATAATAATAAAAAAGAATTTTTTTTATAATAAACAATAAATAAAATATTATGATAATATTAAGAAATTAAATTTATATGTACCCAGAATACTTGTTGCACTTTATAATAGGATAATCTTCGTTGAAACATTGTGGACTCAAAAGATCGAAATAAGTGAACCCAATTTTTTTGGCTATGATTGATTTAGCATTTTTAAGACAATCGTAAAATGCAAAGTCGCATGAACAATGTGATCTGTAAAGAAAAGAAAAAATAATTTTTTTTATACCCTTCCGTCTGTATATCCTTTCGACAGAAATGATATGAGAAAAGATAAAAGAAGTTAACATTTTCATCTCTTTATTTATCGAAATTATGCGATTAATACGGGTATCTTTGTTATCTGAAATAAATTTGCATATACATTTAAAAAAACATCATGCAAAAGGTACATCGCACGATCGAGATTAAAAATTGCAACAATAAAAAGAAAAAAAAAAAAAAAGATAAAAATTATACAACCTCGTAAAAATTCCATTGTTTAGAAGGCGGTATTTTTCTTCGCCTGAATTTATATTACTGTAACACATGTCATGATCTCTACAACAAGCATCAGTACTAGCAAAGAAACCAAGATCTTCTTCGTTCTGTGCTATATCACCATCCCCACACCAAAGGGTACCTGTAATAATTTCAAAATTAACTTCTAATATTTATTATTTTCTCGATATATTATATAATTATTTAAAATAAATAAATAAATAAATAAATATATATATATATATATATATATATATATATATATATATAATTATAATTATATATAGGTACATATATAATGAAAATTATATTATCATTATATGTTAAATAAAAAAATGTCAAAATAAGGATTAATATAAGTAAAATATAATAAGTATATATTCATTTATTTCGGTTAATTTTTTAAAAAATTGAATTTGGTTTTGCAAAACTTTTTTCACTCATTTCTCTATCCCTTCTTTAACATATCTTGTACTTTTATCGTAATGCAAAAATAATACGTAAAAAGAGAGAGAAACAGAGAGAAAGAGAGAGAAAGAGAGAGAGAGAGAGAGAGAGAGAAAGAGAAATAATAAGGTATTGGGAATAAGAAATATTTAAGCAATTGTGAAAAAAATTATATGAGGTCATTGTATATCCCAAAAGGACATAGAAATAAATAAATAAATAAATACATATAAATATTAGCATGTTTAATGTAACTTTGACGAAGTAATCTCTTATCTTGTATCCTGGAAACTAGAAACTCATGATTTATTAATAAACATAGATAACACTAGATATCATTAACTATTTTTAATTTATTTACCGATGATAGATGAAGGAAGAATAGATAAAAAAAGAAATTGTTGTTTGTTTGTTTATGTTTGTTAATAAAAATCGAAGCTGAACATAATGAATAAATAAAAGCAATTTTAATTTAATTAATTAATTTTATTAACAATGTAACTGTCTTAAAAAATTATTATTTTTTAAAAAGAACTTCTTTATTTAATGCTATCGCTTTTAGGTGATTTTACGACTAATTCTTTCATAATATACATATGCCTAATCAATTCCTTACGATATCAATCTCTTTTCTTTCGTTCCTTTTCATAAATATAGTAGCCTATCATTATGTTATTATATAACTTTTAATTAAATAAGAGTCATTCAACGAATTCCATAAAAATAGGTATATATACATATATATATATATATATATATATATATATATATATATATATATATAAATGTGCGTGTGTATATATTATCAGTTCTTTTAGTATCAAATCAATTTTACTTTTTTTTTTATCTTCATTCTTAGTATCATCTGTGTACACATTCGTATAAGTTTTTTAATTATTATCTTTTAAGATAATTATATAAGCATTCTTATATTTATCAGTTATATTTCGTAAATATAATATATTCGTATAATCAATAATGTAATATGTATATAATATATTAAGTATTTAAACCATATTTAAACTGATTTGTTATTTAAATTTATGCTTACGAAATATTTTAAGTTTTTTCTCTTTTTTTTTTTTTTTTTTTTTTATTCTATCATTCATAATTTTTTTTAAATATTCAGAATTTATTTGTAGCAAAATTGATCTCGTCGAATTAATGTTAAAAGTACTTACATTTTCGACAATAATTATTTTACATGCAACTCGTAATAAAAAGTATGTATAAATAAATACGTATATATATATACAAAAAAAATATATATATATGTCATTTTTTTTGTTTAATTATATTACCTGGATATATAGCTCTGAAATTATCCGAAACCAAATTCAAAACTTGACCGTATTTTAGTTTGGTATTATTAAAATCACCTTTCATCGAATTTTTAAGTTTCTCTGGAAATTTCGATATTATTTCATTCACACCTTTTTCAACAAATTTTTTTGCATTTTCGAAAGCTTCTACCGGTATTAAAAGTGTTTTAAGGATTTGTTCGACTTTAGAGAGTTTCGTAGGTTCTGGATTGTTTTCATTTTCGGTTTGATTATTATTTTCATGGTCGATTACATTATTGTTTTCATTATCGGTTGTGTTATTGTTTTCATTACTCTTAAGATCTCGACCGAAACCAAAGATTGATCCAATATTTATTCCTCTACTTTGTTCGATCGTTACGATCAAGATCATTAATACAAGGAGTCGTGTGTACAGCATTTTTAGTTATAATTTATATTTCTGCAAATAATTTAATATAAATCGTTTATTTTATTAATTAAGAAGGTCTTATTACTTATATTAATTTACTCATTATGTAATTTTCTTTTTCAAATAGATCGAAATTCAAATAGATTAACAAATCATAGATATCTTTAATGTTTATTTTGAATCTTTTTTTCGTGAGATATATAAAAATGAATCTATCACAATATAAATCGTTTTTCTTTGAATCGAACAAAAATGACCATTAGCCAATATTCTTGATAATTAATGTAGAAAATATAAAATGTTTCGTAGAACTTCCTGCAGCAGATTACTTACATCACAATTGTATTACACATTGAACATTTGTTTTCTTATATTTACAAAGAAACGCTTGTTTAAAAAAATTAATTGATTTAAAAATTACAAATTGAGTGAAAATAAATAAATAAAATGTTTAATATAAAATTTTAGTTTCACATTAAATTAAACTTTTAGCTAAACGTTTTCTGAATTATTTAGGTCTAACTTTACACTTACGTTACAAGAAATATTCGAACTATACTATCACACACGAGTAATGAATACTTATTAATAAAAGTCTTAATCTTATATCAATATTAGTGATTAATATTAGTAATCGATTCATATTTACAAATATTGCAATGGTACATAATGTAAATAAAAATTATTTGCAGATCCTGTATATATTTGACATTTTAACATGTGACATATAATAAAATTACGTTCTTTAATTTTTTTTTCTACGTTCAATAAAATATTTCTATAAATATAAGAATTGAATTCTAATATATTTATTATAATAAAAAATTATAAATATTTGTTTAATTATTAAATATTAATAATTTTTTAAACGATTAATGTAATGTAACAAAATTAGTTTAATTTATACTTTAATAGACTTACCACTTCGATGAAGAGTCTTACCAAGTTGAACAGAGACTACTCGTTTAGAGACAATTCAGCAGGATTTTATTCTATCAACTGACTGCATCATCAAATGTTAATTATAGTCTGATAACAACTGTACAAATATTTATATAAATGCTAAAATAATACAATGATTTTTAACAATTAATTCTTTTAAATAAACTACAAATAGATCTATCAATTAACTTTATATATCCCTTTTTTAAATATATATTATAATAAATATTTTATATACATTGAGCTATTTAATACAGGAAATGATTATGTTCAAGGTAAAATTCTGATTCAAGGTAAAAAGCTGTCTATAGATATAACTGCGTATAGATTTTACATAAGGATTCGAAGTATTCTATTAATATCCAATTAATTAAATGAATTAGATTGTATAAAGGTATAATACGAATCTGTTCTGTAATAATGTTATTCAAAAGGATATATGATAAATTCTATTCTTTTTCATTTTTCTTTTTTTTTATGTAAATTTTTCTCATTAGTATTATTCCTTGTATTGCGACTTATAACAGAAATAGCCAGAAAAAGGCTATCAAATAAGATTTTTTGATATGATGACATTTGACATATGTAATTGTAATTTATCAATGTCTTACAAGGTCAAGTTCGTTTTGTTTACTGAATATTCCTGTTTATTCCTCGTTTTTATTTATTAAGCAAGTGTTTCTATATTTCATAATTACTGATACATTAACTATTTAAAGATAACTAGTAATAGTCTTATCCTTGATTAATAAATTTCAAAAATATGTAATATTTCGAAACAATATAGAGAATATTCGTTTTAATGTTTGATAATTTTTAAAAATAGTTCTTACAAATCGTTTCTGTATATCTCATCTACCATATAATCACAATTTATTTCAATAAATACTGATTAACATTTAATCAAATTTCACTTATATAGATTAAAATATAAAAATATATATATATATTAACAAGACATAATTTATTACATTCACAATTACGAAACAGTTATTTAAAATTATATATCACAAATTGTTAACATCTTATAATTATGTTATAACTTACAATGAATAGTAATTACACACATAACTCTTTTCTTCTTTTTCTTTTTCTTTTCTTTTCAACTTAACAAATATACGAAAATTATTCATAAAGTTTTTCAAATAACATTTACTCACTCAAGCGAATTTTTAACTTTATGATGTTCAGATGATTCATTTTTAGAAAGGTTCTTAATATTTGAAGGTTCTCCTTCTTCTAAAGCTCGACGTTTTTCAAGTCGTGCACATCGCGGACAAGAGTGATTTCGTTTAGACCAACAGGGACGATGGTACACAGCTAGACATTGTTGGCAATTAATTGCACAAGCATCCCAGGGATATATAATTTCATTGTTTCCACACACTTCACATAAATGACCTCTGAAGATATTGTATATTATATTATATAATATTATATACTATGACACATAATATAATATATATAAGCAAGTATAAGTATTAACTAATTGTTACTAAACTTATATAATTTTTAGTGAAAATAATTAAAAATTTACCTAGCTTTACATAATTCGCATTGTTCGGTAATATGAACATGCATAATATCATAAGCAACACGAATTTCTTCAAGTAAAACACCACTTTGTAGATCGATAAGATCTTTTATCGAATAATTTCCAGGATTTTCAATTATATGTGTACGCAATCCAACTTTCCATGGCAATCCTTGTATATTAGCTTCTGGGCAAATTATTAAATAACGCTTCATCATTTGCATTTCTTCTCTCATTCTCTATATAGAAATATTATTTTATCAGAATTTATTAATATTATTCAAGCTTATTACTTCTTTTATTATGTCATAAAATTTCAAATATATCTTACTTTTACTAAAGACAAATCTGGGACTAACGTAAACAATTTTGGATTTAATTCTTCCAATAATAAAAATGGACGATCTTCAAGGAGTGCCAATAATTGAGCTGCGGCACGACAAACAAGCCTTGGTTCCATATCCCAGTTTCTAATAACTCTTGCAGGTATTACCATAGTCGTATTCCAATGACATCTCTGACAGTAATATAAACCACTGTAGTCACACAGTCGTGGCTCTATCCATGCTGATTCTATGTGTATTTATCATTATTAAATATTTAAGAAAATGAAAAGGAGAGAAGATAAACAAGTACATGTAATAAATATGTAATAAATCTAAATACTGTTATATTCAAGAAAAGATTAGTACTAATCTATCTTCACAAAATAAATACTGACTATGTGGTTACCTGAACTCTTAAAAGGACTACCAAAACAAGATAATGACAATCCTTTCGGGAATGCTTGTAAGAATTAATATATAAATATAATTAAATAACATGCATTTACTATCAATATGTTTTCTTACATAGCTATGATATTGTTACCCTTATTTTAATAAATTAATAAAATTTTATTTTACTATTTCAATTCAATATAGAAAATCACTTACTAAACGTTATTTGTATCTTGCACTCTGCACAGCGATATCCTTGACTAGATAATCCTCTTTCTGGACAAATGTCTTTAGTATAAGTATAACCACCAGCTTCACTAGCAATAACATGTACACACACACGACATATATTATTTAAACATTTCCAATGAACACAGAACCTACAATCTATTATATATATAATATTAATATTATTTATGGATATTTACTGATTAGTAATACACTGTTTGAATTTACCACTGCACATGTACCAAGACTGAAGCATCATCCAAATTGTGCCACTACAATGATCACAATATACAGGTCCAGAAGAAGTTATATGATACTTTTGTGGAACCAAATGATGACCGAGTATTACATGAGTTTCAAGAAGATTCTTGTCTGATGTTTCTCGCAACTCTTGAACTCGTAAACGTAATTCAATTAAACGCCTTACAAGCCATTTTCTTTCATCTGAACATTCTGCGCTTTCTAATACCATTTGTTTACATTTTTCTACCATTCTTTGTAGATCTTCATCAGATGTTGCCTATATTTAAAGATGATAATATAAGGAATAAATGTATATAAACAAAGCATGTAAAAATTTATAATAAGTATATGTTAACCTTAGACAATGAAACTAAAGGTTCTACGGATTTTAAGTTGAAAGGTATGCTGCCTTTACTGTCAGAACTATCATCTGCTTCTCCTGTCATATAATCAGATAAAGAAGAAGGTGTCGAAGTTGTTGTACCAGAACTATTTGCACGAACTCTACTCTCTTGACAATTTTGTTCTTCGTTTGCAATTACTTTTGTGTCTACCATGTTTCTTATTATTTATTTAACATATAAAATAATAATAATAAAGTGATCTACACTGATCAATTTAAAACCAAAAATACATCGTAAAAGAATTTAATTCTTTCTCCACATGATTACGACTTTATTGACAATTACGATAAGTACATCTAGACTTTTCGAACATTCGTTTCTTAGTCATTGCATACAGACCATAACCTTTATATAATATAGATTAACATAGTACATACTTCGCACGTTAGATAACGTAGGTTTAAGTATAGTACAAAATTTAGCCACCAGAGAGCGCGGCATAGACTTATCTTGATTTTCCTAATCAATATGTACTTCTTGATTTCTTAACAATTTTAAGAAAAATTCTAAAAATTGAAGAAATTTTATTAATAAATCATTATTAAAATATAAAAGTATGTCATTGCTCATTAGGGTATTAGGTTTAACCAGAACATCGTTGCAATCTGTATTAACCAAAAGAGTAAGGGATTAATCTTCACCATTGACAATTGATTTTTCTTTTAGTTTTGAAAATCAGGTTGCTTTTAGGATGTACCTGTAAGATTGATTTCTTCTTCACACAAATGCTATCAAGAGGAAAATAATGATACTGAAGATAATAATGAAGATAAAAAAATAGATCCTTCTAAAGACAGAAGACAAATTATTCCTGTTGAAACTAGTATCGAATATATGCTAAGCAACGGTAAGCTAAATCTATGAAATGATATTCCATTAAAAATAACCATGAAGAGTATATAAAAATTAAAATAATCATATTTGTAAGATTTTGAAAGAAAATTTTTTTCATGTCTAATGTTTTAGCTTATAAACAAACTTATGGGGATGAACCTGTATGGAGAAAGTATAGAAGAAATCATATAGGACAAATACCCCCTAGGAAAACGAGAAAAACATGTATAGTACGTGTTTAACAAATTATTTGTTTTCCTTATCATAGTATATATATTTGCATAGTATTTAAATTAATGAATTGTTTTTATTTATAGAGAGGAGGTATAATAAGTTGTGGTAATCCTTGTCCAATATGCAGAGATGAATATTTAATCTTGGATTACAGGAACGTTAAATTATTGGAACAATTCATTTCTATATACACAGGTGAAGTACTACATTACAGGTAAGTTTTATCAAAATGTTGATTTGATAATTAAAATTTAAATAGCTTTAAATCATTAAATGTTTTCCAGGAAAACTGGAATTTGTCAAAGAAAATATAAACAACTTCATGTAGCTGTGCTTAAAGCAAAAGAATATGGTACTTTAACGCTTGATGTTCCTCTTAGGAAATACAACTATTCAGAGTGGTATAACGAACAAAAACAAATATAATTGTTTAAAAAATATTAAATGATTGATGAATATTACATAAGATATTGCATCTATATTGAAAAGAATACTTTCTATAAGTTGATACAATTGATATAAAATAAAAATGGCTAATGAAATCATAAACTGCACGTTTGCTATAGTAGGTGGTGGTATAGCAGGTGTGTCTTGTGCAGAAGGTATAAGTTTTCTTGCGCCAGAGAAAAGTACTGTATTAATTACTGCAAGTCCGCTAATTAAAACAGTAACAAATATTATTCCATTGGGTAAGACAGTGATGCAATTTGATATTGAGGAGAAAAATGCAAAAACCCTTACTGAAAAGCATCCTTCATTACAAGTTATACATGACATTGTAACAAATATAGATGTTAACAAGAAATATATAAAAACTCAAACTGGAAGATCAATAAAATATACAAAATTATGTCTTTGTAATGGTGGCAGACCAAAACTTATAGCAGAAAATAATAAATTTGTCATAGGTATTCGAGATACTGAATCAGTGATTCAATTTTCTCAAAAGATTCAAAATGCTAGAAAAATTGTGGTTGTTGGAAATGGAGGCATTGCAACTGAACTTGTGCATGAAGTAAAAAATGTTGAAGTAGTTTGGGTGATAAAAGATAAGCACATATCTGCAACATTTATTGATCCAGGTGCAGCAGAATTCTTTTTACAAGATGTTTATAATAGAGATAAATCAGAAAATAGTGACATTAAACCTATCCGAAGAATGAGGTATACTACTACTGGACCATCTAAGGAAGGAGGACCTGCTCTTGGTCCAGATTGGCATAATAATTTTGTTATAAAAGGTACTTCATCAAACTGTAGAAAAGTCCAGATTGAATATGAATGCGAAGTAAATGAAATTCTTAAAAAAGAAGAAGTTACAGAATGTAGCGATACCGAGAACTGGCCTGTGTATATAAAATTAACAAATGGTAAAATTATTGGTTGTGATTTTATTGTATCTGCAACTGGTGTTGTACCAAACTCAAACTTAACGGGTTTAGAAAATCTTGAGAAAGGAGAAGATGAAGGTTTATGCGTGGATTGGAAATTGGAAACTTCGGAAAAAGATATTTATGCAGCAGGAGATGTATGTACTGCAAGATGGGAAATAGCAAAGCATTGGTTTCAAATGAGACTTTGGACGCAAGCACATCAAATGGGAATTTATGCCGCAAAGTCTATGACTTCGAGTCTGAAAGAAGAAGATTACATGCAAGATTTTTGTTTTGAACTTTTTACTCACGTTACTAAATTTTTTGATTACAAAGTAGTTTTGATAGGTTTATACAATGGTCAAAAGTTAGATAAAAATTATGAGATATTGCTTCGAGTAACAAAAAAAGAAGAATATATAAAACTTATATTAGAAAATGGAAGGTTACAAGGAGCAGTACTTATAGGAGATACTAATCTAGAAGAAATGTGTGAAAACCTTGTTCTCAATCAAATAGACTTGACTCCATATGGCGAAGACATACTTGATCCTGATATTGACATTGAAGATTACTTTGATTAATTTAATAAATTTATTGTACTATTATAATCTATGCTTTTTTTTTTATTATACTAGTTCGTTACAAATATACAAAAATTTTGTGTGAAAATATATATTATTTAAAATCATATTATCTGAATCTTCATGTTTCATCGTTGTACTTTTTTAAAACACACAAAGATAAGATATAAAAATGTAGATAGATAAAAAAAATACTACTCATATAAATCACCCTTTTCTCTTCCATTTTTTTTTTTTTTTTTTAATTAATTCAGAAATAAAAGTAAAATCACGTTGGCATAAAAATAACTGTTATAAAAAGATTGCATTAAAAAAATACAGTTTTAAAAAAGTTACAACACACGAATTATATACCATTATAACCTAACAATATATTGATACCAATCATGCTTATGTAAATAATTATTTAATCTAATTACATATGAACTGATCTTAAGATACGTTTCTAAATATTTATACATTGGCAATAGTTTTTTCTTAATAATCAATATTACATATAAATTTATATAACATTTTTAATTATCAATGAGATTAAGAATATAACCAAATATAATAAAATATTAATAAGTCTTGTCAAGAAGATAAATAAAAATAAAAATGGCAAGAATGAATGAGATTAAGAGATCCTAATAACAATATGACAAATTTATTTTTAAGAAAAAGCTTGTTGTTGGAAACAACGGTTGATTATTTTATTTCTAAACCTTCAATAATTTTATAAAAATCATTTAGTGAATAATATATCACAGGTGTCATATTCTCGCTTCATTATTTTCAGCCATTGTAGGCAAAGAAAGAAATATTTTATATTATTCGACAAGTTTTCTATTTTTAAATATTAAGTTAGATGATGTTGAATTTTATCCGTAAATCGTACGGATTTTGGAATATTTCCATTTTTAGGATGTGTAATATTATTATTGCGTAAATTCGATTTGACCGGAGATGCGTTTAACTTGATATCTTCTTTAGGAATATCATTATTCACAAATTGCACGGTGTTTGTACAATCAATTCTTTCGATCACAGTATTATTAACAGATCCAGTCGAACTTACACTTTCATTTTTACTATCCTTCAAATTTTTAACAAGCAACATACTCCTTATATCAACGATAATATTTTGTACTCTATCTAAAGAATCGCTAATTGTATTGTTAATTTCAGGGCTTTCACATTGTTGACATAGTTTACTTAAAGATTGTGTCGCGCGTTCAATTTGCATAAGATAAGTGTTTACGTTCTTGCGCTGTTGAGATTCGGATACTTCCTCTTGCGTCATAGAATCATGCATCGACGTATCCATAGATAATTGTTGAAAACTTTCGTTCAAATGTTTCTTCACAGGTGTTAAATTTATCGAAATTCTACTATTATTTAAAGAATCGTCGAACGTTTCGGTATTATCGAAAGGTATCCAATCATTTTCTGAATTCTGTAACTCTTTCAACGAATTTTCTATATCATAATCACGCAACTGATGAACCCAATCTAAAAATCGCATTGGTTCCCACAATGTTTCCCTTTTATGATCTTTATCTCGAACACGAATCACAGGTCTCAGATTCTTATCAATTAGAGTCTGTTGTTGATTAAATTCCTAAAATACAAAGAATACTAATGAATCAAGTCTGTTATGATTGTTAGAATTTACAACTCAAGGTTATCGAACTTCTTATGTTATGAGAATATTCAATGTTTTTAAAATTTGCTCTAATAAACACGTAATAATTTCCATTTTATCTTATTTAATGACCATGAAATAGATAGAATAGAAAAAAGATAAACATAGATAATAGTTAAAAATATCAAGACTTTCAGTTATTTAGTTCTAAAATATAAAAAGTGAGAGATATTTTTAAGGTTGAATCTCTAATCAAGTTTGACAACCCTAATCTAATTACGTATGTAATTTATACGTACATAATTTATACCAACTTCTCTGCATCGTTCAGTTGCTTCCCTAACGAGTATTTGCATCTCGTGCAAACTAATACCACCAGCTTTTATAGTCTCAGCACTGGTTTTGATTTTAAGGGCACTTTCAAAATCTGCAGTAGTTTCGTTCAATATGCTTTCTAATTCTTGAAGAAAATTTGACTTGTATGGTGAAACATTTGCTTTAGTTTCCACTTGTTGAATTTTTTTGATTCTATTATTCGTTTCTATTTCATTAGCGAGTATCTCTTTTTCTAATTCGAGTTCTTGTTTACGACGATTTATTTCTTCCAATGCTAATTTTTGTTCTTCCAATGTACTACCAAGAACCTCGATTTTATGTTCGTAGGTAGATTTTTGAGAGCCAAGTTGTAACTCTACTTCTCGTTTTGCATTTTCTAATTCCTTTATGGCTTTCTGTTTTGATTCCTCCAGTTCTGCTCTTAATCTAAATATTAGAAAAATTGTAATAATAATAATTACATTAATAAATTCAATTTTATTCTGTTAGCGAATAACTTACTTTTCTTCTTGTATCTTGAGTATTTCTTGATGTGCAAATTCAAAGTCTATAGCTTGTGAAGAAATTTGTATGTTTCCAGTCTCATCATGTGGATTTGAAACTTTGAAGTAATGATTGCCACCTATGACAAGTCGATCACCATGTTTTAGATGTACTTTCCCACTCACCACCTGTCAATAATATAATACGTATAATTTTTGTTTGTTTTTTGTATATAAGGTGTTACATAGAAATATAATTATTATTCTTTCAAATTACCTGACCATTCAGATAGGTATCACCATCCATCTCTGGCAACAACATAAGCTTACCATTTTTATTTTCTATAGTACTATCAAAAAGAAAAAAACATCAATTAATAATCAATATTGGCAATTTTCAATGAAATGAATATACAATTATAATGATTAGCAAGTCATTTATAATGATTAACAAATCAAAACATATCAACGAAGAAAAACCTGTGATGTAAATTAATGTATATTAAAAAAAATAGTGTTTCTTAGATGTTCGTTTTATCAGCATTAGAAATCTTGTTTTAGTATTTGTTATTCGAATCGATAGTGCAGAATCGATAATTGTAGAAACAACTCAGTGATATAACCAGTATATAATCATGCATTAATAAGATATAATAAAAAGATGAACACGCCTGGATCCAATGAGAGGACATGATTACGTGAAGGTTGATACGAGAAATATCGGCAGAGGAAAACGAGGATAGCATAATATATTCAGAAGCAAAATGCAAAAGAAGTGAGGAGTAGTATCTCTGGAAGTTTTGGATCGACTGGCTTTAAAAAAGGATGAAGAAGAACGTCTCGATTGTTGAAGGAAACGTCTCTGGAAATCGAGAACTAACCAGTGCAATTTTCTAACAAGTGGCCCATCCAAAACGATATCCAATGGTACTTTTTTAAAGGTTTCTGAGTTCTCTGAACGTTTTCCAATGCGTACCAAACCAGGCGGAATTAAATACAACAATGTACCAGACAACATAGGATCAGCAGCGAGATTTATTAAACATGGTTGTTTATCCTTTTCACGTAAATCAATTTCAACTGCAATTCCACAACGTCGTAAATATTTTAGCTCGGAATTCTTTCTTTCTTCGGTTTCCTGTAATTTTTCCAAGCTGCTCCTGCAATCGAAATTCGCTGACTATTAAAGTTTACATTCGATTCGAAAATATAAAAGCATACGATATATAATAAAAATTCGACTGAAAAAATTTATATCAATTTTCGAAATTTCTATTGAAGAATTATATATTAAAATAATAATAAATATGACAAATCTTCTCAAAAACGTCCTACTTAAATTAAAAATGGAGGTATTCGTTCCCAAATTTATGACGATCGATTGGATAAGTTCGAAGCAATTATTTTATAGCGTTAGCAGAAATATTATTCAAAATATATGATACAGTAATTATGATAATGTAATAATTCTATTTGCTAAGATGATAATTTTTGTTCTTTTTTTTTTTTCCTTTAATGAACTTTAAAATAAACTTACTTTTGAGTGGCAGCAAGTTGTTCCTCTGTTTTTTTCAATTGTTCTTTTAACCTGTTAATTTCCTCTTGCTTTCGTTCAATCTCCTCGGTGTCCTTTACGTTTGATTCTATGCTATCAACAAGTTTACGTGGACAAACTCCAAGTTGTTTTTCATATCCTTCACGAACTCCTCGTAATCGTAAGACTTCCGCCTTCAATTCGCTAAAAAAAGTAAAGTATAATATTATCATTCTAATTGATATAAGCCATCTTTGATAATATACATAAAATGCATAAAGAAAAGAATTTTCTAATGAATAATATTTCCATAATTTACCGAATTAATCTGTCATGTGGATCTTCATTAATTCGAATGCGATTAACAATAGCCCGTGCCTGGCATGCATATCGAAGAGTTGATAAGGTTTCTTCGAGATGAATGTTAGCTGGTGAAACTGTACCTAACATTGCCGTTCGAGAATTTCCACCCAAACTTTCCTATAAATGATTAGAAATTTTCAATATATTTTGAATTAAATTTTACAAAATTACTTTTCACTTTTATTTTTCCTTTTCCTTCAGACTTTCTCTATCCTCATTTTCCAAAAAAAAACAAAAACAACTTCGAAGGATATACATCTTCATTAGGAAGCTCATAAAATTAAAATTACAATGAATCGTAAACTACTATCATAAAGAAATATATTTTATTATACTATAAAATATCGACAGAAAGAAATCGTTACTTTTGGCAAGTGATTTAACTGATAATAAAAATATTTTATTATCGTAAGTACTTAAAGTAAAGATAATATTCCGTTTCTTTCTTTTTCATTATTATCTTCGAAGATAGCTTTTTTATAATCGACAGATGTAGGATTAAGTCGATAAGAAGACATCTTGTTTTTCTTTGCAGAAGATTAACGTCGCCATTTTTCTTTATCAAACGTAATTGTCTTTTCTTTTTTTTTCTTCCTTTCTTTTTTTCAAACGAAAAAACGAAAAACATTTGTTTAATCTACGAAAAAAGAAAGAATTAGTCCATACCATTTGGCATTGCTCATACTAGCAAAGAAACGATCATATAAATAATGGCTTCATTCTATTTTCTTTATTAGTTATGGTTCACCAGATAATAATACAAAAACGTCATAAAAAAAAGAATGAAGAAAAAAAATTTTCAAGGAATTTTTCTGATGTAAACTTTATCATTCTTGCATTATGCCATGTGCAATTAATTATATAAATATTTTTATTAAAATTTAGAATTATTGCCATTGTCGATCTTAAAGAAAGAAAAAAAGAAAAGGAAAAGAAAAATAAAAAAGAAAGGAGAAAAGAAAAACCGTGTATAAAAATTATCAAAACAAAAAAAATATTTGAACAATGTAAAAAATAAAAGATGAGTAAAAAATTTATCTCGAAATGAATTAAAAATTTGTATGAACGAAAACGAATATTATGAAATTTTATTGATTCAACTTTTAAGAAATAAAAACGTATGCAGAAACGATTAAAAGAAGAAGAAAGGAAAGAAAAAAAAGTAAAGAAAGAAAAATCTAAGTAAATGTGACATCGATAAAAAGAAAGGAAAAGAAAAAAAAAAGAAAAGAAAAAAGGAAATGAAATTACAGAGCTTATGAAGATTTTAGGCATCGAGAGAGGAAAACGACGTCGTTTCAAATGTACGAGAACCACCCGTATGAATGGAAGGGGTAAACCATCAAGGACAAGGAGACACGATGCTAAGAGGAGTGAGAGGGAAGTTGTAGGAAAGTAAAGTGGTGGGAGAGAAACTAAAGAGAAACGAGAGAAAGAGAAAGAGAAGGAAGGAAAACAGAGTGAGACAGAGAGATCGATAGGCTAAACATACGTGCCGTCAACGAGGTTCGCCAGTTGAAAACAAGACGTCCCGAGAAGATCTTACATTTCTCGTGATCATCGAAACTACGTTTTTACTTACGTTTGTTTACTATTCAATGATTGGAACATAGTAACATATTTTTGTTGTTATAATCAGAGAGATATCATCGTTGCTTGAAAATATTAAATACGATATAAATATAAATGTAAATATAAAATAAAAGTAGAAAATAATTATTGTGCGAATCGAAAGGATCACACGAAGCTATCTTGGCTGGTCTAATAGACAAAACAAAAAGCTAGAAGACATATCCTTAAAAAAAGAATAAACGAGAGAGAGAGAGAAAGAGAACAAAGTTTTTAGCTTCGTAACGATATCCTTGAATTAATAATATCAATAAGAAATATGTCATTGAGTTTACTATGCTAATTACTGCGAGCTAATTGTAATCCTAAAATAGAGAGAAAAGAGATAACGAAACACCGATACTTACGATACTCGATTTTTGAAAAATACAAGAATAAAATTATATACGATGAATTAACTTCTATCTTGAAGATTTTCAAAAGAAAACTCGAACAAAAACAGGGGAAAAAGAAAAAAAAAAGAAAAAAGAAAAGACAATAACAACAAAGATATAAATTTTTCATAGAAATAATAACAATGGATCTCGTTTATATTCCTGAGGTATTAACCTACGGATCGTTCAGAAGCCCATTATATCAAGATTACGAGCAACCTTGGAACAAGAATTATTTTGGTCACGGTATGTATGTATG